TATTTTGCCGGGGAATATACTCCAATTTCTCTTTGAAGGATTTTAGTATCAATACATAATGTTGTCATCTTTTTTAGAAGTTAGTGTTTTTTGTTTTTGAATGTGTATCTGAGCTTAGATAGCCCATTAAGCAATCATTTTCAAGCTACACCAGCATTTTAAATATAAAATGACTTCTTGGAGTTAATATGGATTTACTGTGACCTAGTGCTGAACTTGCTTTTGTTCTTCTCTGGCTAGGGCAGTTACAATATATCCATATGTTGAGAAAAAACAATACAACTCTAACTAGTATTAGTTATTGTCATATTGGCAATAGTTTTTCTTGTTTTTTCCTCTTTGGATTAAGTAGTACAACAATCTTTGAGGCAGACATAAGTGGATTATTACCACATTTTGCATGTTAGAAACAGGCTAAGAGAGATGGTACAATTTACTCCAAACTCAGCCAAGTTTAGTCTGATTAGAATCTAGGCAATCTAGCCCACCCTTGAGGTCACAGTGTTGACCTTGTCTATGATGGGACAAAATTGTCAAAAGTTAGCATGGTCATGTTAAAGTAGTCTCTATCCAAAGGGGAACCAATATCAACCTAAGGACAGCTCTCTGTCAGGATGTTGGAAAACTGCCTGTATTTTATTTTGTGGATGGATTTAACAAAAGCATTTACTGAGCATACTGTTGTGTAGGAGGATGTCATAGACACTTGAGGGAGACAGAGACGTCATGGTACAAAGGATTTTAAAATCCAGAGACTCCCTGCTTTTATCAGGACTAAAGTCAAGAGGCAAAGCAAATTGGAACAGGATTTAAAATAATTCAAATCCAAAAGCTCCTGATAGTTCCCATGAATATTCTAAAACTAGTCAGTGTTACAGGAATATGTGTAAAGGCTTGTATGATATTCAAAACTATGTGCATACAACTAGAAAAACTTGCTTTTATAATATCACTTATGTAACTTATCTAGAAATTTTAGAATTAACCTCAGGATCAAGAGTGGTGCTAAAGCTTTTGCTATGCTCCTAGGTTATACTACCAGGAGTGCATCTGGAGTGAGAGTTTTGCTTTGTTTTGCTTTTCCTTAGAGCTCTGTAATGGCCAACCATCCCCACAGGATGCTTTTTAGGTCAGGTTCTAACATTTTGAGGACATTGAAAAAGGCAATGGGGACAAACAGAAAAGGATCACATAACTCAGTCATATGAAGAATGGCTGAAGGATTTGGGGATGTTTAGCCAGGATGAGGAAGAGTCAGAGAGTATATGGGATCAGATTCCAAAATATTTGGAAGGTTGTCATGTGGAAGAGAGAGTCAGTTCCTCTGAGCGGTTCCAGAAAGCAAAACCAGCACAAATGACCTGAAGTCACAAGAGGGTTATCTCAGGTTAGTAAAAGACGGAGAATATTGAACTATTAAAAAAGGATCGGGCCACTGTGTAATACAGGGAAAGGGTTCCTAGAGAAGGTGTCACAAGAAAGACAGCTTGGAGCGGGTTGCTAAACTTCATCATGTTGAAGGCATCTTCCAAAATCAAAACCCCATGATTTATGTTTCCATAACAGAAACAATTTCCTAAACCTTTAGAACACACAGACAAAGTAAGATCATATTTTACTCAATGCAGCATTTGGGGAACAATAATTAACATGTATGTAGCAATTCTTTTTCAATTCCCCTAAGAAACAGTGACATTTAGGTCATGACAAGATGAGATATATGTAAACATTGTGCATAGACAGCCCACAGATAGCAGGCATCAGGGAATCTACTCCATGGAGAACAGGGGGCTGTTTTGATATAAAAAAAGTGAACAGAGCAGGAATACAAGGTTAATCCTGGATGCAACTTTAAATCCTTCAGCACAGTGCCTAGCAGTCTTAAGAAAGCAAACAAAAGTCTGCAAAGCCTTTCCAGAGGCGATGAATAGAAACAGAACAAATCACTGTGGCCTAGATAAATGCTACACCCCTGCACTGCCTGGGGGCTACAGACCTCCTCTGCAAAGGCCATTCCAGCAACCTGAACAAGAGCAAAAATTCTGGCACATGGATCTTGAGCTAATTTCCACAAACCAAGTTGGCATAATTGGCAAGTGGACACTTAGAGACAGAATATTTAAAGAAAATCTCACCAGAGGAGGCTTGGAGGAGCCAGTGGAAGAAACTACTCTAGGCTTGTTGAATATGGGGAAAAAGAAGAAAAGAGACTGACATTTTAACTCAGACAAGGCTCAGTGGAGATGCAAGAAGTGGGAGAGCAAATCTTTACCCAGCTGGTGAAAGCCCCAGATAAAATCCTAGCCACACCATGTAGTTTGTTAAAAGTCATTTCTTCCCTACAAACCAACCAACTTCCATTAGTCTCTAACATTCTTTCTGACTTATTTCATTAACATATCCTCTTTTTTTCTGGAGCACTTAGAGCCCCAGGGAGTCTTTCTCTTCCCCTACCTCAACTCCACCAAAGGGGCATTGAAAGAGAGCCAGGGTGTTGTCTGTGTAAAGAAAAATTGCAAAACCACAAATTGCAGAAAATCGTCACTGCCAAAAATTGAGAGGAACACACAATATCACCATGCCTCTTAAAAAGCAATTGCGCATTTTACAGGCCTCTGGATAGTTCAGGTTTGTTTGGCAACTTTCTCACCCATACCACCCAGAAGACAGTGCTCCTCCACCAGAGGCAGTGGTCCTAAGGCATATGTGTAGTTACAAAGAAACAAGCAAAATACGTGAAAGTCTTTGCGGGAGACTGATTTTGCAGTGGGATTCTATAATCTACTATTGTATAGCATTGATTTTAAGCTTCAAAGTTTATCATTAGAGTGCCAGGGAAGTTCATAATACAGGGAGAACCCAATAACTTGTGAAGAATCCCTTATAGTTACATAATAATTTTAGATGCTAAAATCTTTCCCAAACATAATCTTAAGTGATTATCGTAACCCTTTAATGGAGAGTTTTTCCATTTCTCATAATAAAGAAACTGTTTCCAAAGGAGTGACTGGAGCTTAGGCATGAAGCTGCTGAGCTTTACTGCCCAGTTCCTTCCACAGTCCAGCCATTTTCTGTAGGTATATCTCCCTGATTTACTCTTCCTCCATGGTGTTGGGACTCTGTGTTCCCCACAGAGTTCCAAGACCTTCACTTAGGAAGCCTCCTCCATTACCACAGGTCTAAGCCTCCCACTGGAGTGCCAATCAGGTAATTTTTCATTGTCTCTGTTGTATCATATAACCACTATTTGTACATGAAGGAAACTCCAGAAACTCAGAGGAGTATGGCTAATGATTTCAATGCATTTCCTTGATTCCAGTCTGGGAGTGCTTTAAACTGAAATTTTGATAAGAAGATCGAGTTATATATGTGTTTATATTTGTATATAATGACTTAGAATGCTGCTTTTAATTGTTTTTCCCCTAATTTTTATCATGACTATATGCTAATCCTAATTTAACATTAAATCACTTAAAACAGTGATGAAGTTAGGCAGTGACAGTATGATAAAGAGTCACAAATATGAATGAGAAGGGAAATAAACATAGGCAGTTTTCCCTGAACTCAGTGTTAAAAAGGAAGACTATAGTCAAAAGCCAACATTTGCACAGGCAATATACACATGATAGCACTGGAAAAGGGGAACTGCTCATAAAATCTAACATGGCCTTATTTGTAAAATCTGTTTAAATATTCATATCATGTAGGTGTTTTGATAAAGCAGTAAAGACCAGAGCAATATAATATAGAGCTTGACATTTAAAAAAATTCCAGTGAGTGTGTAAGACTGACATTAAATTTGAATGATTTTAAAAATGAAGGTCTCTTGTGCTGATGTTTGAATATTTCATATATATCCACTAGAAAGCAAGCAAAAACTTCATCCTGGGAAATCAGCAAAAACTAAATTTTTCTTGCAGTTCAGCTGAATGCGTGATTTTCTCAGGGACTGAATGATTCAAAAGAGAATTTGTTAGAGCACATATGTGTAATTCAAGTGAGACCTTTGGATTCTGATGGGTCAGAGAATGTCTAGCTAAAGGATTCAGTGGCTGCCAAGATACATAATTTATTGGAAATTCTTTATGGATCAGGAACTGAGAGTTGATCTCTGTGATTTACCTGGCTCAACCTCCTTCTGCCTTGTGATTGTTGGTCTACTTATCTGTAGTGACAAGCAACTAATCATTTTTTAAATAGCTGCATGTTCATACTAATCCTAAATCTATCCTCTAGTGTTATCAAATTATTCCAGAGATAGATGAAACTTTAAACATGTATCAATTATAGGTATAAATTCTTGTGTATATATTTACATTTGTATAATTAAGAGAAATCACTCAACTTATTTCATTAAAAAGAAAAGTAAAACCTTCATTCACATCCTAATTTCTAAGGCAGAAATCCAAAATACTGAAAACTCCCAGTTCAGACCTGTGATTTTTATTTGATTTTTTCAGTATAGTGGGTATTTGTGATTTGCATATAGACATTGGGAGTGCTAGAGTAAAACAACATAATACACAAGAGATTAGCTCTAGAAGGAACACTGGTTTACAGAGTAGCTGCAATGCAATAGACACTTGAAGGAATTATTAAGGAAACTGCCAGACTGCTAAACAAAATCAGTCTGACTACACAGTGAGGGCCAACTGGGCAAAGAGTAATAAATACACTATTTGGAAGATACTGGATATTCACATCTTTGATGTCACATGATCATCATAGCACAAAGAATTTCCCCCTCCTCACTTTTTTCTGTTTTAGGTGTAATGTTGTCACAGTCACCTTTAGTTTCAATCTGCTTCCCTCAAAACAGTTTCTAAAATGCTCCATGATGTTATACAAATCAGCAGTGTGAAACATTAGCTTCTAACTGTGACTGCATTTGTTGAACCAGGCTTTAAAAATGTAGCGATGTGAAAGAGGAGCCTTGAAAATTAGGAGGTTTTAGGAATTATAGCAGAGGAGATGCCATTTCAAGGAGGCAATGTACTTACATTTTGCTGCAAGTGAAATGCCTGTCTTTAAAGGGTAGCCTCTGAAACAAAGAGAGAGAGAAAAAAGAATGTTAAAAATGTGCAGTGACCAAGTCAAAATGAAAAAGGCATTGAATTGCTTTCCAAAGTATAGCTCCAGACTAGAAAATAGTGAGGACTTAGATGAAGTTTACTTTATTGGGAGAGTCTTCTTGGGGCCATTGGGAACCATAGCCTATGAAGAAAACATGTTAGTCAACTGTTGCATCTCATTGTACCCTCAATTCCATGTCCCTGGATGTCCTAGAATTTCAAGACCCCTGATCTTTGTCTCTCATTTCCAATCCTGAAAATGGGAGGAGATGCCTTGTTGTCTTGTTCAATGGTTCAACTCACACCACTCTCTTGCTTCTGGCTCACAATGACATTGTACCATACCTTGTTCTTGTAGACCCAGTTCTGACACATTGTTCCATTAAATAAAAGTCCTCTGAGAAATTATAATTTTCTCAATTCATGCTTATTGGGATAAGTGGACACTTTTCTAAGAAATAAAAAGCTTTTGTGGGGGGTACCGAAGGGGGAATAAAATTAGTGCCAAGTTTCTCTTTATTCAAATGGCAATGAGAGGCAGAACAATTATATTGTTCCTCCCTTGAAGGAATTTGCCAGGCGTGCAGGCAATTTGTTCAGTGTGGCAGCCCACCAGACAATTCAACTTATTTCCAAATTCATTTTTTAAAAATCTATTGTGGTTGTATTCAAAGAGATACTTTGCAAGGTAGCAGGTTTAATAGGAGATGAAATGAAGTCCTCTTGAGTGATCTAGGATTCGTATGGTTTCAGGTTATCTTTAACATTGAAGCACCTAAGTCATTGTTCTCAGCCCTTTGGAAAGATTCAAACTACAAACACAGATCTGGATAATTTATATTGGTCACTTCAGTGCTCCAAAATTGATAAAAAGAATAATAGTGACTATTTCAATAATTGTTATAAGGTTAAATAAGACAATAAGACAGTGTACATAGTGTATGCTATAGGTTGTATCTGGAATGTCCTCCAGAAAGCCAGAAGTCAAAGGCTCAACCCACAGCATGATACAGTTGAGAGGTTCTTTACAAGGTGCTTTGTGATGTTCTCTCAGTGGTAGGTTTTTAGGTGATTGCAGTCAAAGGAATTGTGGGACTAGTTGTGATCTGTCATTTCTTTCTCTTTTGCTTTCTAGTCATGGGTTGGGCATTTGTATTCTATTGCATGAGGCCAACCATGAAGTGCTGCCATAGTCCACTGATCATGGACTGAAACCTTTAAAACTGTGAGCCAAAATACGCATTTTCTCTTTGTAAGTCAATCACCTCAGCTATCTATTATAGTAGCGGAAAGTACAGACTTGGTAAATGTTTTGTGCTGTTGTTTCTGTTGTTATCATTATTGTTGTCAGAGGACCAAATCAGAAAACCAAATTAAGAACATGTAACACATCCATGAAATGGCACCTAGGAAGGCAGGTATGCAGAGCCTTGCTTGCATAGGACATCTCTATTCAGTAGTCAGAGTTGTACTGCTACCCCAAATTTCTCACCCACATGGTATTTCTCCAGTCTGCATTCTTTCAGCTGCTGAGGATGACTGTTAAGATCCACAGTGGAAAAACTCTTAATGTTTTAGCCAGCCACCTAATTCATCATTACTATTTGAATGTGTTGAGCTCATAGAGAAATTGTTAAATTATTAAGCTATTGAGTCTATGAAGAATAAGGATAATTGCTCTTTACATAGGTCTTTACTTTGTACATTTTTACTAGAATGAATTTCTTGGGTGGGTCCTATAGTGTGACTCAGGAAGATGTCACCTGTGTCATTAGTGAACTGCTCTGATCACAGGATGACATATTCTCCACTGCCAGGCCAAACAAAAATGTGTACTGAAAATTCTTCTGAATTTGTATACTCATCAGCTGCTTTGGGGAACTTGTTGCTAAGAAACAAGTGTAGAACTCTGTTACCTCCTGAGAAAAGTTTTTACTACTGCCTCAGATAATTGGTTCTTTAGCCACAAAAGTATGAACAAAGAGAACTGGGTGTCGCTTCACAGCTTCACTGGACAAGAACTCTTCATTTGGGAAGCAATTTCACAGTGAGAGCATTGATTATTTTGAAAACTATTCAGAGCTGTTCTGTGTTATTATGTAACTAATGCAATGGCGCTGATAATTTTTCTGGTGATACAAAATTAATTGCACAGTTATGAACACTGTGGTGGTTTGATTTTACAGACGATAGAGCTACAGTGTACCCTTGAGTTACAATCTGTCTGACATATGAACAACTTGGGTTATGATCAAAATTTTATTGTATTTTAATATTTTTTAAATTTTATGACCAGAATTTAGTTTTAATTTATAACCAAAGTCTTGAATTATGACCAAAATGCTGGCTGCTTGTGCTTTCACATGGTTTCAGACACAGATTTAATCCTTAAAGAGTTCTGGAAGGAACATTGCAACATCCTTTCCTGTATGGAGTTGAGAAATCCAGGGCCAGCGTCTCTCTAAGGACACTGAGATCTGCCTGTTTACAGGAGAGAGACTTTGAAGGCTGTGTAGAAGAGCCTGCGACTTTAGTTGATAGACTGAGTTACAACCAGCCCTTGAGAATGAATCAAGTTCGTAAGTCAAGGGCCCACTTACATAAAAACTCACCTTTGCTCTTAAAGCTTATTACCACATTAGAAATAGAAAAACTTCAGACCTTCAAATGATTAACTTGCTCACTGAATGCTTGTTACGTACCTACTATGTGCAGGACTCTGTGTTCTGTTATAATAATACACCCCTGACCCTCATGATGAATGTCTTCTGGTTGTGGAGATAACCAGATGGTTTCGGGAGATCACAACACGATATAAAATTACAGTACTGGTCAGTGAGGGCAAGGTGCAATTTGGTGATACGATCCGTACAGAGAGGTCAGAGAAGTCATGGGAAGGGTTGGCATAATATCTAAGAAAATTTCACATTTAATTATAATAACATCTAATAATGTTGTATGTTCAATGCACCAGCAATGCCACAAGTACTTCTATAAGTACTGATTATTTTATTCCTCTTGACATCCCTTGGCAAGTCTATTTATGTCCAGAGCATGAACGAAGAAGGCAGATGGGAAATGGAGCACACTAGAAGCAAAGATATCTAATCAAAGATGTGGTCTCCAAGCAGGAATAACTGGTTCCTTTGAGGAATCCAGAGCCCAGGCTATCATTTGCATCATTTTGTACTTTTTTTTACCACAGCCCATTCTTCCATGACATAAGAGTATAAGGGATCATGGTCTGATGTTGAGAATTATAAGCACAGAGGTTAATGGCATGAGAAGGTCAGGAGCTCCAGTTTGAGTTCTGCCACTGACCTCCAGGATGATCTGTAGCCAGTTATTTAACCTAAATCCCAAGCTGCCATCTGTAAAAGGGGATAAGGGTACTGCATGTCTCCTATGATTATTCTGCTTCTTGAAAGGTGCAATGCAGACAAAGCATTGGGCAGAGAACTGGCCCAGTCTAACTGCTTAGCATGTGATAATTATAGTTGACTTTACCAAGTCCAGACAGAGAATTTACTGTCCAAAGAATTGCATCTTCTGCCGGAATCAGAATATTTTGCACTTGTTACTTAAATATTCATGAGAAGGGCACATGGCATCTCCAGCCTCTTGTGTCAGACTTTGGGTCTGCTTTGACTTACTGTGGGCTCTACTTTTAGAAGTCATATTGGGATTAGTCACTATCCTGCTCAAAGTAGTATTTAAGTTCCCACTGCTATCTCCCAAACACTGCCGATGTTTTAGAAATTTTCTAGACATGTCCAATTGCTTCTTTAATGAGACTGGAATTTTATGCTTCTTTTATTTTCCTTGCCTTCCCTTGCCTTTCCTTGTTCCCCCTTTCCTTTCCCTCCCCTCCCCTCTCCTCCCTTCCCCTCCTTTTCCCTCTCCTTTCCTTCCCTTCCCTCCCCTTCCCTCCCCTTCTCTCCTTTTCCCTCGTCTTCCCTCCCCTTCCTTCCCCTCCGCTCCCCTCCCCTCCCCTTCTCTTCCTTCCCTTCCCTTCCTTCCTGTAGTCTTGTCTGTGCCTTTGCCAGACCTTGACAGATAGTTCAACTGCTTTATCATATTTACTTATAAATAGCTTCTTGTGTTTTGATTTTTTTTCTAGATTTTTAATAGTTAAATTATTTTTTAAATTTAAATAGACACTTTTTACTACAGGATATTGGAAAATAAAGAAAACTCTAAAGTAAAATAAAGAGCTCAGAACCACATAGATTTATTCTGAAGTATACACAGTAATGAAAGTCTTACTCAATATTCTAGCCTTACTCTCCTGAGGCAATGACTATTAATGGTGTAGCAGGACATCATTCCTAATTGTTTTTGTGCTTATGAAAGCACAAATAGATACATAAGCCTTTATACATACACATGTATATCATTAAATTTTTTTCAACAAAAATAAGGTCATGCTATATAATTTTCTATAATACGCTTTTATTCTTTTAATGATATTTTTGTGGACATACATTCCAAATCAGTATATGCAGATTTCCTTATTCTTGGTAGTAGAACCCATTTATGGATGAGTCTTAATTTATTTAGCCCATCCCATATTGATGAGTTGTTTTTCATGATTTTTTTGCTATTACAATGAGCTTTTAATAACCAGAGAATTTTGAACATTTACTTTTAGATTTATGGTTCTTATATTATTGGACAGTTCTTAGAATTGTAAGTACACTACAATAGTGTATATGCAGATTTTTATTTGAGAGACCAAATTATTCCTCAAGAAGTTTGAACCTATTGGCCTCTGTTGATATTAAGATATATCCTCCATATGTATCTCTTACTGGGTATGTATAACTTTGTAAATGTTGAATTTTTCTTCTCTGTGTGATTGTCTTTCATCTGAACTTACGATGCCTTATTCAGTAGTCACTGGTTTTGAGTACCAAAACTTCCTCTTTCTTTTCCTCAGGTTGCTCCTCTGTAATTAAAAACCCTAGGA